TACGAACGAAAACTGAAAAAGAGTCAATAACTCAGAACCAAAGACTAGAACTCTACTCAGCTACAAGTAAGGGTTATCACTGCTTCTTTAGTTAAAAATAACTGGAAGTTTTATCTCTAATAGTAGTTCAACATGTACAAATATATATAATAAAGTGCACACCATTCTTAAAAGACAGTGTGGACTCAGCCATTTTTAACAAATTCTTTTGTTATCTTCATAAAGCCTTAATACATTTTTCTGGAGTATTTCCCATACGCGCACACACGCACACCCACAGACTCCTTGGGTGAGTAGAGACTGCCCTGTTCTGGTCAAGATTCAAGTATCCTGAATAGGCAACAAGAAAAAAAGTGGCTCCCTTTACAGAATTCTATTTTAACAAGGCTTATTTCTGTCTGGGTATGCTACATGTTACACTAACTCATTTAGGAAATACCTGGGGTCAGGCTGTATTAGAATAGACCAGAATTTCTTGATAAAACTATAACCAGGCGAACTCTGACATTTTTGTTGAATACTTTCAAATGTCACAAAACTCTCTGGAAAATAAAAGTTTCTGCCACTTTCAAAGGAAATGAGTTTGTCTTGGGTTTAATACAAAAGCCAGGTAAAACTTAGAGATATAAGTTGGGTGTTACACTGAGGTTTTGTGAAAGCCCAAACTGGAAATTTAAAGAGAAATCTAGGTGGCATAAAATTCTGACAATGGAAAATCAAAAGGTAATTTACGAAATCTCTATGAGTACATACTCTAATGATTCCTTCCATCTATAGGCTTGGGGTATATTCAGGAGACATATGATGTGGTCAGAGAAAAACAGGAGGAGTAAGAAAAACAACTATCCTGGAAAAAAATATATGAGAAATGAATTTCGGGTTTTCTGGAGAATTCTGGTTGAATGGCTGCACTACGTCATTTGATTTGTTCACAGTAAAATTCAAAATTATGTAATTACATGAAATTCCAAGTTAACTGTCACCCATCAAAAATGCAAGAGTGTTGGGAACAAAAACAAATTAATCGCTAATAAATTCAAATAGTAGCTCTTACTGGGCATAGAGTGCACATGCTTCTTTCGTAATGGCAAAGATGGGCATATCTACAGAGAATTTGGAAGCAGGACATACTATTCCACAAGTAGCTACTGATGGTATAGGAATAGCTCATGATGGTGCACTAGGGCGCCTGGGTGGCTCAGTTGGTTAGGCGACTGCCTTCGGCTCAGGTCATGATCCTGGAGTCCCGGGATCGAGTCCCGCATCGGGCTTCCTGCTCAGGAGGGAGTCTGCTTCTCCCTCTGACCCTCTTCCCTCTCGTGCTTTCTATCTCTCATTTTCTCTCTCTCTCAAATAAATAAATAAAATCTTTTAAAAAAAATAGAGTATCAATGTTACTCTTCTCACAGGGTACTGAAATAGTGAAAACTGCTACTCAGTTGAGGATCTTTTCACAGACAGCAATGTCTGTAGTTTAATGGTAGAAAAGTAATTGACAGAGTTAATCTATTTCTCTGTAAAAGAGAAATTGACAGGAAAAAAAAACAACTTGGTAGCAGTAGCAACTAATCATTAATAAGACCGCATAAAACTAAAACAGCAACAACAATGTGACTCCAGCTCTTCCTAGGGAGAGACGAATTCTCTGTCTCCAGTTTGACTTTATATAAATCACTTCATTGAAAACATTTCTAGAGGCCTCCAATCACTTCTATATATACATAAGCCCTGATAGTTGATGCACAATCTGCTCTCAGTATGCCCCTTGGACAGGGAAATCAGCAAACTGTAGGAAGAACTCACAATGCAGGGTCCAATGTGTTTTAGCGCAGGTGGGTGCATAGTAAGTAACACATTTAGAAAAAGTATTTCAAGCTGCATGGACTAAAGCCAGGTCATAACTCAAGGAAAAGGGCAAAAATAATGTCGCAGATTATTTTCTGAAGTCATCGGCCCAGTGTGATTTTGCCTAAAGTAAGAAGAGCCAATAACATCATTATTTGTACTTGCTATTCAATCCATTTTGGTTTTTACATCGATGGAGCTATCCACAGCTTTGATCACGAGAACACAAAACAGACAAAGGAAATGAACAGATAGGAGATGAGATAACATAAATGTTCCCAAACATGGACAGGTAGTAAGGTTTGCACACCAACCAGCAATCATCGTCTCTCTGCAAAGGGCTTTCACTTGAGAGAACAGAGCTAAGTGAAAGAAGACAACCCCTGGCAAAACACCTAGACAATCTCTGGAAGTGATCTATTGCAGGCATACGGCCCTCATACCTTGGTGCTTAAGCACCTATACAGGGAACCATTTATAAAAAGAGGATAATAACTAAGAAGAACACAGAAATAGTTATTATATCTTAGATTTAGGGATCATAAAAATTGTTGCTTTAGGATATATTTTTAACCTTATCATTTACCCAATAAGTGATGAATGTAAAATTCATAGCCTTTTAGACCTAAGAAAAAACTTAAATATTATCTAGTCCAATTCTCTCATGTACAGATACGAGTGATAGGGAGTGACCAAAACATGCTGTGAGTAGCCATGATGTGACCTGAACTTAAATATTCTGATTCCTAGTACTGTGATTTTCTAATACTTCACATTGCCTCTCTTTGTCCCAAAGATATCATAAAAAGATGAAAATAAAAGTAGGTATATAAATGTCTCAAATAAATCCATGGACTATATAGGTAATAGATCCAAACTATGTTGTTTAAAAGATTGAGTTGGAGGATTGGTAAATACCTAATATTTGTGGGCTAAGGGTAATTGTCATGTACCATAAATCATGCCTATATATTACATTGAAATCAGAATATGAGGCTTGGCATACATGAATTTAACATAGTTTTTGCCCATTTTTTACCATAGTTTCCTTCCCAACATTTTCTCATTTTCTCTTTCCCAGCAGTCTCTCTCACGGAAGAGTCACTTCTAGATACTGAGAGTCTTCAGTGTTTCAGCAAGTTGGCTTTCAACCAATGAAATAATTTATAAGGCTATTTATGTATAGTTAGAATTACTTAATCACCCTATTAAATATCAAGAAATTTTCTATCTTTAATTTTCTTCCTTACTTATTTTCAAGAATAGTTGTAAATGGCTGTCACTGTCCTACATTTTAGAGTAATTCCTAGTGGTTTTACCAGATCTAAACATTGATATAGGTACACCCCATACGATCCCCAAGCTCCAAGTAAGTTAGGTAAAAGGAAGGAGGATTTGGAGCACAATATAAGAATGTGATTTGGAACCAAAGGCATTTCTAGGAGGCTGAAGATGTATCAGAGTGTGCAAATGTAGCAGTCAATATACAGTTGGACTAATTAAACCCTAAGGCCTCACTTGGGTCTATCATGCTGGAATTGATGGAGGCTTATGAGTCTCTTCATTTTAGTTTTCTGATTTCTTGGGCATTTACTTCAGTTCCAGTACAGAACATACCCTTCTTCTCTTTCTCTCCTGGTCTGAAGAGTTTGCCTAGTCTAGATTGCAGGTCTCCTTTCTATCTTTCGCTCCATCAATTATTCCTATATCTATCCATTTTGCTCGTAGAACACAGATGACTAAATCCTCCTCACAGTCCTAAGACCTCTTCCTTTCCCCCCACCCTTTTCTATCAGATTATGCATACACGGAACATGACAAATAGTCCTGCCACCTCATCCTCCCACTCATGGTATGAGAACCAATAATATTTCATGAATAGGATGAAGTTTCAGTGCATGACCCTGACTGTCCCTTCTTACGTTGTGATTAAATGATTTAAATGGGTGCTGTCAAAACCAGTTTGAAAGTCCACTCTCAATCTGCCATCATAGGTTTATTCAACCTTAAACCTCCCATCTGCAGCAGCTTGAATACCCACTGTAGATTCGTATTTTTAATGTGCTTATCACATGCTGCTCTATATTGTTATCACAGTTCATGTATGTTACCCTCGTAAGTCTCTTAAGGGTAGAAATTATAGTTTACCTTGCTGTACCCTGAAAATACTTGTGGATTCCTCCCTCCCTCCCTCCCTCCGCCTCCTGCTCTCTTAAGCCTACTTATATCATTTGATTTTTTTTTCCTTAGCAGTAATAATCTGCTCTTTGCACTTTGCTTTTTGAGGCCATCTCTTGTCACATGTCAAATCTATTAAGCTTTTATTATTTTTAATCAAAGTGTGTACTCAATTCTACCTCCTCCACTGAACCACCCTTGTTAAGAAATACAGTGTAGATTCCTTATCATCCCAAACACACAACAAATCACACTCCTCTGTGATAAAAGGTACACATAAACACAAATATAAACCCCCTCCCCCACCAGTATAAGTGAAACAAAACATGTATACATCTTTCCTTTAGTTCATACATTCCTAGAATAAGGAAAGGAAAATTATCTGTGATTCCTAATATGCTGCTCTGACCACATGAGTACCCAGTAAATCGTATCACTTAATGTCTCCGATGAGAGTAAAAGAACAATTTGTTAAAAACATAAAATGACACAGTCAAGTCAAAGTCTCTTAAATCTAATCCATGCCAAACATATTTATAAGTCTGAAATATGTGAGTGTTTATCTGAACAGAATCTTCAACTTTCAGAAAATTCATTTATCTCTTACTCTTTGTCTCTGCCGGGGAGGCAATTTGTCAGGAAAGTTTCCACAGCTGCTGTGGCTGCCATACTATTTTTACTTCCCAGATAAAGAATTTCAGCCTCAAGGGCAGTCAAACTAGCACCTTCCACCAATGCTAATCTCACTTCGTTACCCTTTTTTATAAAAGGTCACAACTCTTTTTATGGCACACAATGCCACGGGCACACTTTCCATATATTTAATTTGACACAATATAACAAACACACGACTAGTTAGAGAACTCTGTCAAGCCTAACCTCAAACAAGTATTCTGTATTGTCTTCATTATTAAAGAAAGGGAGAAGAGGCATGCATGACCCACACCGTGCTTGCTTTTCACTTTATTTTCCCGTAGCTTCTGATAGGCCTTGTTACACAGCATGCAGGGCGGGAAGAAAAGGTCCTGAGTCATATTAGAAATGAAAAGCTTCAACCATATGACAGAGTATCAAGGAAGGAGGCACCACCCAGTGTCTTTCAAATCTATGAATCGGGATCTGCTAAGTTCTCAAACATCTTCGGAGCAACCACCACTGGTGAGGACTATGAAGAAGTAAAACATGTTTGTTGTTCGTATGAAGTAAGTGGTCTAGTTCATACCCTGGGTTCAGACTAAAGATGACCCTAGTTTACATGTGCCGTTCAAGATGTTTTACTTGAATTTAATTCTCACAAGATCTTAATGAGGTATGTACTGCTATTACTCCAGTTTTATCCATGAGGAAGTAGATAGGTAGAGGAAAGGAATCGACCTCTATACAGGAAAGTCACCTATATTGCAAGTGTTGGGAGACAGGATGCAGACCCAGGGAGGTGGGATGCAGAGCACGTATTATTACCCATTCACATGTTTAGGGTTCCTAGGGATGCTGTATTATAGGTCTCATAATTTGGGCTAATTCAGTTAGCTCAGTGAGAACACTGTGCTAATTAAGACAAATAAGAAATCAATATGTTACATAAGTTCAACTGTACTTGGCTCATTACCCCACTGGTAGATCTTTGCTAAAGTGGAGTAGGCATCTGCCTTTTGGGATGAGTTGTGGTATTCTAGATGTCTCCTTTGCCTGTCACTGCTCCCACAGAAAGATCTTCTTTTGCGCCCATGTTTGTAATATCTGAGGACTCATTTGTTTTCTATTAATATAAGAAATACTGTCCTCAGGTGTTCCCTTCTGAAACAGGTGTGTGACCACACTAGGCTAATTTTTGGACATGCCTCTTGCTCACAAGTGCAACAGCCTGGAAAATTAAAAAAAAAATATTTGTTAAATGAATAAAAAGAGGATTGGGGCAAGAAAGTATGGATAGTACATTGGTTAAATGTACCACCACTACTAGATTAACAAATCAATGTACAAAGGAAATCTACCTAGTTTACATCTACACACTAAAGGCATATTTTGTCATCTTATAAAGGTGGGAATGCCAAAGAAACACTATCTCATTGTATAAGAGGACTTTATGAAATAAGACAAATGAGAATGGTATCATGGTGGAAGCATGGAATACCGGAGGAAATTTGTAGACACCCCACCAGAAGTATGAGGTGTGGGGACAGTAAGGATGTAGGGTAAACCAAAGCAGAGCAGAGCAAAGTATTATTTGCATAAGACAACAAGTTTTGGCCTACTGATCCTAGATGACCTGTCCACTCCCTAATCCTGGATTAGCCCCACTGCACTGCATTTTCATTTGCTACTCTCTCCTAACCCCAACCTCAGTGACCCCCTAACAAACATTTCAAGAAAGCATTTGTTATGAACCCTGTTGCCTTGTATGCCATACGGGATTCTCAGGACTGTTGTGCATATGATAGAGTGTGTATACTCTCTGTTCAACTAGTTAGACTGAGATGCAAACAACGCCCACGTTTAATTACTACACTATAGTGCCATATAGTTCTTTGGACGTTGCTCTCTGGTTGCTTAGATGACATGCTTGAGGGTCTTTTTTTATACCAAAGCCAGCATATTCAGAAATATTAGTATGTTACTTAGCCCCACCTCACGTATCTTATCCCCAAGTAAGTATCCCTGTTCTGTTCTCTCTGTAAGCTCAATACAGTTTTCATCCAATCTTATTTTCAACCCTACTCAGAGATTAAAAAAAGACACCCACTCTTTAGAAACTTTGGTTAGCATGTATTGATTGTGGAAAGCTGAACTTCTTTTTGTAGGATGATTATGATAAAATGGATGCGCTCTTCATTTTACTTTATAAATTAGCAGTTTCTGTAGTATACATGGAAACTCATTTTTTTTGTCCTAATACCAGATATGAAGGCATAGTTGCAGAGTAAGTGAAAGATGAAGATCTGTTGTTCATGTGAAGACGCATGTCCAAACCCCCATCTTCAATGCTTAACCAGAATTTCCCGTTTGGGAAAGTCTAGGGCATGATGATTATTTTCCTACCAGTGCCTTTGACCATTTCGTTATCTTTCCAAACTTCTTTCCTGCCACGGTTACAGGGACAATCAGTTCTCTTTCTTCCTAGCCTTTGAGTCTTTCACTGGCCCATTTTATTCTACTCTTTCATTGATATTGGTTCTGGTATTTTATATCTGTTAACTAAATTAAATTAAAACATAAAGATTTCCCTTCCTTGTCAGTGATTATAAATATTCTGTATAGGTCTGAAGGCATAGGTAGGTCCAGTGATGTTTGTAGCTGTTAGCCCCAAATCTTGTAAATCTATTGTTAAAACACAAAATAGATAAAAAAGAAATACCTTCAGATAAATTAATAACTGGAGGGAACTGAAAATATTTTGTGAACTAAATCACAAAGGATTAAAGGTTGTAATAGAATCTAAGTCATTATGTGTAAAAGCACAAAATAGCCATTTAGGACAGTGGTTCTGAAATTTATTTTTATCTCATAATCACCTAAGGAGCTATATGAAATTAAAGATGCTTAGACCTCACTTTTAGATACACTGAATCTGAAATTCAGAGGGGATCCATAAGCAATCTTCCTCTTTAAAGACATTTAATGTCATTCTTCGAATGCATTGTCATGTTTAGCAACCACTAGTTTATAGAATTCTTGTGACTGTGATTTGTCTGTGGGATACCTACAGCAGGGAACGGCAGCCACCTGGATGGCACAGGGAAGGCCCAAACTCGAGGACGCCGGAGGTTACCTGAGAACAACTGGTGTCTCAGGAAAAGAGAGGTATGACCAAGAAGAGAGAAAAGTTATGCTCAGCTTATCTGGGGCAAAAATATTTTTTTTTCATACAATGAAAACTTACAACCTACATTAAGAGTATGCTACCAAAGTTGGGAGATATTCATAGAGACTTAAATTTCAACTGAAGATATTAATAACTGTTTACAGCTTCATGTGCTATCCCTGGAAAAGCTGAGTAAGCACATATGAATGAGGGAGGGCCGCTATGGTGAGCTTTGCTGTCATCAACACACAAGCCACTGGGTAGCAGAAGCTAGAGGAAATGCTTTCCAAAGGCTCAGAGTGACACTTTGCACAATAACTCCAAACCAGGTCCCTGGGGCCAGCCAACTCTTCTTGAAACAGGCTGTCCTCAAAGGAAGATTTGTCTCCTGCTGGAATTTCCTCACTGCTAAAATTGTCGATTTTGAAGAAAAGCCTCCATTCACATTATGCAATTATAATGTATCAGCAAATAAGAAATAACCCCAGGACACTACATCAAAAACTAATGATGTACTATATGTTGGCTAACTGAACACAATAGAAAAAGCATAGAAAAAAAGAAATAACCCCAGCACCTTGAAGATCCTAATAAAAAGAAGGACTAGTAGAAGAGCCAGCTCCAACCAGAATGGCAAATATGAGCAAATTCCACAGCCATTAGGAGAGAACAGAAAGTCGGTAATGAAACCATTACTGAAGAAAAGAGTTGGACATTGGACTAGGGGGGTATGGAAACAAATGTGTTTAAATGACATTTGAAATGGGATGAAGTTCCTCTACACCGTGAGGAGTCACTAACAACTGGATACCGAGCAAATCTGAAACCATGGGTTTGAGGAAATTATTTAAAAAAGGAAACTTGTAACGGGAAGGGATTATATAAAATCAGAACTTTGTTACCCTGACATCCATACGTATCCTTCAGATTGCAAAAATATATTCAACCTAATTACCCAATGGAAAACAGTCAAATAAGACCTTCATGAAATGGTGCCTGAAAGAACCATGAAGAGTAGTAACAACAGGGAAATGTGGGTGAACTTTCTTTGCTTCTTTGAGCATGTCAAAGGGAGGAAGAAAAAAATCACTTGTTTTAGTACTTGTCATTAAGTACTATATACAGTAGTTAAGTATTAATAAATAAGTAGTTAACATCTATGCAATGATTCATGCCTGTTAAAATATGCATTAACTGCTCGTTTATTATTTATCATTGCCTCCATAACAGAAAATGAGACCAAGTGGCCAGAATTGCCATTGTTTTTTAACTATTACTTTGATTTTGACTGCCCAAATCATAAATAAACAATTATCTTCTGTGTTGGAAAAATCATGATGATAAATTAACATCGGCCCAGCCTACCTGTGCACTCCACAAAACTAAGCTTTAAAAATCAGCTTCTGTATTTAGGAAAAAGACAGAGTGCAGCGTTTTCCTTGGGACTGAGAGAAGATCATAAAAATGAAAATAAATGCCCTGATCCCTCAAATTCTTCTGCCACTTCTCAAGCACAGGCATTTTACAATGGTCAGTTTATGCCTCCCCTATCTTTCTGTGTTATAGTCAATAACTGGACCACGCTAGCAGTTGCTCAAACACATTTCTGAAAAAGAAAGAGAATTGCCGAATATCTTTGTGAATATCTGGATTTTTTTTTTTCATGGTGTCAGAGAACTAAGGTGCTTACCTTCCCTATATTGTTTGTTTAATCTATAAGAGTTCATAGGTTTTGATTTGGGGTTTTAAAATACTGTCACTGCCACCGTTAATTGTGAATATTCACGGAGCACTTTCACCTGACAATAAAAGCACAACACTTCAAATTGTGATGTGATGTCCCTGGGAATTCAAGCCAAGATCTTTAGATTTTTCCGAACAGAGGTGAAGGCGTCTAGGGCAGCCTGAATCCTGGCACTGTGTGCCTTATATATAGTAGAAACAACCCTGGACAGGAACCCAAAGGGACTGTGCTCAAAACCCATCTGGTATCTTACCGGAGATTTGGACAAGTCGCTTAGCCTCTTTATATTTGAGTTCCCTCATGTGAGAAATAGAAATGATAATGTCTACATCAGAGACTTGTTAGGAGGATTAAGTGAAAATGTTTTGTAAACCATAAATGGCCATATAAATGCAAGGATTTATGACTTAATAAGACATTAGGGTAAATATCGTTTTAGTCAATTACGAAAGTCATGGTCTCCAAAATGCAGCCCTATCTTTTAATATCCCAACAACAGCTTTCCTGTGAGAACCATGTCTTGGGAGTAAGTCTGTTGATGGAGCCCTGGATAATGCAAGAGCTAATGGCAATGCCCCTTCTCCAGTTCCCGAGGACAACTGGTAAGGCGGAGGCTCATTGTTCCCCTCCCATACAACACATCCAGCCCTCAGATGAATTTCTCAGAAAGTGTGTCAGAATCCTAGAGCCCAACTGCTAAAGACAGGAAGCAATTAAATATGTAAATCAAGGAAATTGCACTGCACTGATGACATTCAACATTGGGTCTGCCCCTACCTCCTCCTCCTTTTTCTCCCTGCTTCTATTCCCCCTTGGGACTGAGGCTAGTGTGAGAGCTCCTTCTTTCACGCTGCTCCCTGCTAAATGTTTTTTATTCTCAACCACCTGCCCCAGGCCTTCTCATCAATTATTAATTAAGTGTCCATGAATATGCATAAACGCTTGTCTCTGAGTTTTATTAAATTAAAAAAAAAGTATATAAGAACGTGCTCTGTGCAATGGTTGAGAAAAGAACATACAGTAGAAGAGAGGAGAAGGAGAAAGGGCAAATTTGGGGTGTTGTTTCTCACCCCACTGATGGCACAAACATGTTGAGGCCACTGATTTATGAAGGTTATGTTTTGTTTTTCATTTCAAATATGTTTCTAAATTAAGATCGTAAAAGGTTTAAACTCCAGACAATGTACGATTCTAGAATCTGCTTTCTTTTGATAGATAAGATTCTTCATATCTTGGAAAGGATAAAATTGGCTAGAAACTACCTGCACAGGTTACCAAGATATCACCCTACAAATGCACCTTGTCTCCCATTCCAAGATCTGCCATGTGATGCACGGTGTCCTGGGGCAGTGTTGGTGATGGAAGTGAACCCAGGAACCCCAGAACCCTATCTCCCCTACTCTTAAAGTCCCTTGGTCAAATCACTAAGGGTTTACATTTCCCAATTTTCCACTTCAGTTGAGCCTTCCTTTCCAAAGAGAAATAATGTCTCCTACTCAAGAATGATGTAGAACATGGGGCACCTGGGTGGCTCAGTCGTTAAGCGTCTGCCTTCAGCTCAGGTCATGATCCTAGGGTCCTTGGGATCGAGCCCCGCATCGGGCTCCCTGCTCGGCAGGAAGCCTGCTTCTCCCTCTCCCGCTCCCCCTGTTTGTGTTCCCTCTCTCGCTGTGTCTCTCTCTGTCAAATAAATAAATAAAATATTAAAAAAAAAAAAGAATGATGTAGAACAATATGCCTGCGAATACTACTGTGGCTTTTATCTTCCCAGGTAGGTCTTCTATGATCACCTTTTGTCAAATAGCACACCCTGACCCTGTTGCTGCACCTCCCCCACCCCGCCCCGACATACATAATGCTTTGTTTATTGCGTCTTGCTTCCTGTGCCTTTTCCACCATGAATGCAACGTTAATGAGAAGAGGGATTTTGTCTACTTTGGCCAATGCCACTCAAAAACGTGTTTTTTTTTTTTAATGAATAAATAAATAAATGAGACGTATAAGGACATCATTAAAAAATTCTCCTAATTACTAACATAAACTTCAGCAATAAACATCTTCTGTGTCTAAACAAAAACTAACCATGATAGCCCCAGGGGGATTCTCAATGCTTCAGCCAATGTTCCCTTACTCTCCTGTGTTTACAGGTAGCTTCATTGCACATGGCCAGCTGATCCTGATGCAAATGAAGCCTCGACATATTTTTATATTAAAAAAGTGAGGTATCCTAAGTGCCTTGGTGACTCAGTTGGTGGAGCGCCTGACCCTTGATTTCAGCTCAGGTCATGATCTCAGGGTTGTTGAGATCGAGCTCCATGTCAGGCTTCATGCTTGGCAAAGAGTCTGCTTGAGATTCTCTCTCTCTCCTTCTCCCTCTGCTCCTCCCCCTGCTTGCACTAAATAAATAAATAAATAAACAAACAAACAAACAAATAAAATGAGGTATCCTAATAAAAGGGTAGTTAAAAGTGGAATTTTATTTTGTTTTGCTGGTTGCTTATTTGCTTTTGCCCATATAATGGCCATAATGAACACAATATAAATTTATTTAGCCTAAAGTGTAGGTGGAGGGGGTGCCTGGGTGGTACAGTCGGCTAAACATCTGACTTTGGCTCCAGTCATGATCTCAGGGTCCTGGGATTGAGCCCTTCGAGGGGCTCCCTGCTCAGCTGGGAGCCTGCTTCTCTCCCTGCCCCAGACCCCCTCCACTCATGCTCTCTCTCTCTCCCAAATAAATAAAATCTTTACAAAAAAGTGTAGGTGGCAAAAAGTTATGGTTTGTGTCTTCTGTTCTTTATTCATGTCATAGGAAACCTCCCTCCCACACATTTCCTGTTCTCCTGCCTCTCATGTCTTAGCATCTTAGCCATTCAACATCTCTTAGCCTCAGGTGTTTTTTTCCAAAGAAAAAAAAAGATATTCATATTAGATGAACTCCAAGGATTAATCAAAAATGAAATTAAATCTATAGGAGCAACTCAAGAAGAAAACAGAATTATTTTATTATTTCCTTGCTCACAACACTCAGGTTCTCATTTGTCATTAAACTTAATGTCAAATCAATAGTTATATTTTTAGTTTGGAATTTTATCCTTTGTTCTACTATTTTCCTTCCTAAGGAATCTCAAATTTAACTTACAGAATAGTGTGTTCACCTAATATGTTATTGAAAAATCTAATTTTATAGAGTGCCATTTAAACAGAAATGCCAATTTTCAGTAATAATGGTCACTATAATAATGTTTAATGCCTCAGTGACTTTTCACCAGCTAAAATGCCCTTTAGATATATACGCCTCCTTTATTTCAAATTCAAGAATGAATCATTACACTTTGATGAGCATTCCATCACACTGGACATAATAGTTAAATTTTCCTGTTTAAGAATCTCATTAATTTATCTCTGCTTTCCTGACTTCCCCTGATGTACTCATTCAGTGAAGAGCTACATGAAAACAAACAGCAATGGCTACAGAGCTCTAATGTAGATATTCAGGCTATGTAGATGCACAAGATCTCAAGGAGGTGACGGCCTCAAAAAACCGGCAGTATCTGCAGGAACACAACTACACTGCAACGTAGAATGATTCCAGTGCCACATGAGTGATGCAAAGGCAGTACTATCACAGGGCTGGGAAGACCTCCCTTTCGGCTGGACTGATCAGAAAGGTATCAAAGAAGAGGAATATGTGAGGCAGGCCTCAGTGGAAGGGAAAGGATATCAAGAGGTAGAACGGTAGGCCAGGCCCCCTAAAGCATATGCTCTGCTGCTGGTGCCTTGGATGGTGTGAATGGGAGGGACCAAAGAGGCAGATGAGAAAGATGCCCACAGACATCCTGTCTTCCTGCCTCTCATGTCCACCAGGAGTGGTCAAAGAACAAGTGTTGAGAAGGTGATGGGGGCAGAGGAAGTCAGATCACTGTCCCAGGGAGTAAGGTCATAAAGTCTTCTTCCCACGGTTTCAAGAGGGTCCGAACTAGACCCCAGGGACTGAACTAGGAAGAATACTTACAGTCCTCCAAAGAACAATTCGATGGCCTCCTAATGCTAAGATTAAGTAATGAACAGATTAGAAAGCTCAGGCAGTGTTTCCTTAAATTGGCAATATTTTTTTTTTTAAGAAAATCTTTCCCAATATGACCTTTGCCCCTACCCACCAAGAGTGTGTGTATGTGTGGGTGTGTGTGTCTATGTCTAGAAAATAACTCTACCTCACTGCTATATACGTATACAAACACCTATCACATTTCAGGGAGTGGACAGCTTTAGGTAATGGAAATATTTTAAATTAAGCAAACTTATGAATAAATCATGGCCAATTGTTTGGGGATGATTGTGTCCGTGTGGAACTGGCCTGATTCCTGCGTGCGAGATTCATCAGCAGCACTGGAAATGGGTCTGAAAAGAGGAAGATGGCATAGCCACACAGAGCACTGTGAGAAATGAGGCAAAAGGGCTTTGCACATGAAGTTGCCCCAAGCAGTCAAGAGAGATGATTTTTCAATCTGACATAATGGAAGTCCCTAGAGAGATCCATTTTTCATTCTGACATGACTAAGATAATAAGTCACAAGTTAAAATACGTAATCTGAGGCCCAACACAAAGAAACCTATTTCTGTTTTAGAAATGGCAGAGTACATCCTGGTACATGTTGGTTTAAATGGACATTCTTTTCCTTAAAAAACCAGCCAGAGACTTCAGCTCAAAAGAGTAATTTTTAAGAGTAGGACTCATTGAAAAAAAACAAGAGCAAGTGGTATGTGAAGTTTGACTCTTTGAGGATACTCTGACATAAGCTCAGCCTTTGAGAAATTGTTTTTAATAAATAAAAATAACGATAATGGAACAAAATTAAATAAACAAATGAAATCCTCTGTAGTGAGATAGGAAGTTCCTTATCCTAAGTTTAGGCCTCCCATTTTACATCCCTTCTGCAAGCTGTCAGACAAGAAAATTATAATTGATAGTAATTTAGTAAAGTTTTAGTAGACCTAATATAATTCAGTTTTGATACCCACGAATCATACATAAAACAAATAAAAGCCAAATTAAAATAATAAGCCATGATAAATTTCATTTTCTTTTATTTATTTTACTGAGACCAATCTAGAATTACATACTGTTGGAAATGCAGAGAAAAAGGAAGAATGCAAATAGGAAAGGCATTATGGATATAATGACAAATGGGACATTTTTTAAAGGTTTCTCTAGAAAGTTGAAGCATTAAAGCCCACATTCCTATCTGAGATGTCTGGATTGGAGCCAGATTCACAAAGATCATTTTAGATGATGTCACTGCCTATCATCCTGCATATTGTGGTTTAAGGGTTATTGGGTCTCCCTTCTTTGCTTTTTTTTTTT